TAGGTCGACTGTGCGCGAAGGTCAAGTTTCCGATAATATCATAAAACCTGATTCAGCACATAGCACTGTAGTGACTGTACTGCCATCACAATACCCAGTACTGGTACTAGTACTGGTACTGGTACTGGTACTGGTACTGGTACTGGTACTGGTAGTAGAGTGTACATGCGTTGCTGTTACTATCTACAAGACACTAATAAATAAATTTCACGGTTCGCGTGAGACTCGGCTGGAAGTCGAGTTTTCCGCATCCGCCGTGGGAACGCCACCACCCTCTAGGATCAAAGGCGCAGATGCAGATACAAGACACTACATATGTAGTAATACTACTAATACTAGACTAGTGATAGACTGCAACATGTCAATATACAATACCAAATAACGATTTCAGTGTAACGTGACACCAAGAGTAGATAAACAGTTTATCTACTCTTGGTGACACCTTGGCGGCATAGCTTATGGCCGGGACAGTGTTCGGCGATACCCTGCTTGGTAAGGGACAGTGTTCGGCGGTACCTTGCCTGGTTAAGCCAAGGGACAGTAATCGGCGGTACCTTGCCGGGCAAGATGGACTAATGTTACACAAAGCTTGTATTAGGTCCCTAGGGTACCGTGTATGTGGGGAGGTAACTGTACGCAATGGGCCATTCACACTGTGCGCAAAACGTGGCGTAGATACGTGATGTTTTCGTCCGAATAGCCATGACAACATTGAACGTGTGTTATATCTTCATTATTATTATTATTATTGTGGTTGTACCCGTCGTATGTCACCAGTACATCAGTCAGGGTTGGAGAGAGTTCTGCTTTGTACAAGATACAACGTCATGTACACAACTCACCGTCAGGCACATAGGGCTAGCATGGGGTGAGATGGTGCTGGACTGCTGGTGGGGCAGTTATATTACACAAGACTCAATCTGCGGACAGCATGCTGTTTCGTTCTTTTTGAACTCATCAGCGCAGCACAGAGGAAATGAGGCCGAACCTGATAGCAATGGAAATAAAAATTTCCAATCAGGCCCGAACGTACCTTGCCAGAGTGCTCAAACTGACAAGTCAGTATTACACAAGACTTAATATCAGGCAAGATAAACAAGGCAAATGCTTCAGGACGAAAGTTAGACTGCCTTTTCTTTAGGAGAAAAGGTAGACTCGACAGCTTTCAGTTTCAAGAGAAATCCCACTACAGGTGCATGTACTACTAAACAACATTACATCAATAGAGAATGTGTTTCCATTTCAAATTTGGACTTCACGGAGAATTTCAAAGTTTTAGGAAATTAGAGGCCACATGCCACGTACTGCTCTTTTCTCTCCGAAACTCAACACTCCCGGAGTCCCGGAGTCCCGGTGGTGTGACTGATGATTTTTTCTTTCTTTCATATCTGGCGTGCAAGTGTTGAGTTTCGGAGAAAAGAGAATGTGTTTCATGTAAATATTCGCCACTACATCTACATGTATGTGTGGGCGCGCCTAATTTGTATTTATTCAACATTTCCTGGCTCGTCAAGCGACTGCCAATGACAAATGAATCATTATGAGGCGACGTAAGGATCGACGGGAAACGACGGGACGGTCTGAGGGCGTCCAATGTGAACACCAGGGAGTACTAAAAACCTTACTTGTAATTTATCTCCCCTCCCCCGAGACACACACATCATAGCACCATATAATAGGCATATGCGGATAATGCCGGCAGAAAAATTGGCAGAATTCGGTAATTTTTCTGGTAAGTTTCATGCATGTTTGGTATGTGGATAAAGAAATGGAGCAGAATTCGAGGAATTGCCCGCCATAAGGTTTGTATGGTTCTGCCAATTTCTCTGCTTTTCGAGCAGAATCTGCCACCTTTTCGAGCATTATCCGCCAATGCCTACCATGGAATGGGGTTGCATTTTTCCATGATGTGGTTGTCGACCCCTGCCTAGAGCCCCTATCCGGTGAAAGGTTCGCCCATCGGTCAGCTGCCACGGAAGATTCCGCCCGCCTGGATGTGGCCGCCAGTGGTCTGTGGGGGAATAGGTTTGCGCGTACCTACATGTACTTGGACATCCGCGTCTTCAATCCTTTTGCCTCCACAAACACCAAGCAATCCCTCCAGGCCACATTCCGCAAGCACGAGCAGGAGAAGCGGCGACGGTATGAGGAGCGCATCCGTGAGGTTGAACATGGTTCCTTCGCCCCAGTGGTACTGTCGTCCTCTGGAGGCTTTGCCAAGGCAGCTAATGTGCTGTATTGCCGGATAGCCTCGATGCTGGCGGAGAAGAGGAACGAGCCATACAGCATGGTGCTCAGCTTCGTTCGGTGCCGGCTCGCATATGCGCTACTGCGCTCTGCAATCGCCAGTTTACGTGGTCATCGGCAGCGGGCACAACTGTCCGACGCCACTTCAGCTATGCTGACCGTATCCAGTTGTCACATTCGTTGAAAATTGACTTGAAAATGTCATATCAAAAAGTATTCTTTCTAGACCAAAGAGTGGTATATTTGATAACATTTAATAACGATAGAAATTTTTTTACGATACTTCTCCAGACGTTTCGTTGTTCTGAACAACATCGTCAGTGGATAAAGAATGGAGGGCTTTGGGTGGTGGCACGGGTTAGCACCGGGTGCGGGTGTTCTTCTTCTATTGCGATCATTTTTGGATGGGTTGGCAGATAGTGGATGGTGGTAGGCAAGTTATGCCAAGAATCCAGTTCCCATATCTTCTTTTCTTCTGTTGATAGTTGGTTCCTTGTCGCGGATGGCATATGCCTCACGGATCCGGAGCCTCAGCTCATCCCTCTCCGTGAGCTGAGCAATCTCGTACATAATCTCTGGGGTGGCGTTCGGGTGCTCCCTAGCGTAGTACACACCGAATGCAGACTTCTTGTCATGAGATTTTGCAGCATTTGTGTGCTCTTGGGCCCGGGTGTGCACTTGCCTTCCAGTCGAGCCGACGTATCTCTCGTGACAAAGGTGGCATGTAGCTTCGTACACGGCAAATCTCCCTTCCCACCTGTATCGACCCGCACCTAACCTTCACCATTAACTTAGATACATGTATTTCCCACCTTCACCTTCTCACCTCATCTCACCACCATCACTCCCTATTAACCCGTGCCACCACCCAAAGCCCTCCATTCTTTATCTACTGACGATGTTGTTCAGAACAACGAAACGTCTGGAGAAGTATCGTAAAAAATTTCTATCGTTATTAAATGTTATCAAATATACCACTCTTTGGTCTAGAAAGAATACTTTTTGATATTACAATGAGAGTGAATAATCAACGGCTTGTCCACCAACTCTTTGAAAATGTCAGTTAGATTCTGGTTCTTGCTCTTTCGTCTCGCTCGTTATCGGTATTTTCTAGCTGTTGCCGCCCGGTGTCTTGGTTTTTATCTTCATGCGATCATATCATTGTAGGTTTGCCCGTACAAGAGGCGGTACTGAAAAAAAGATTATCGCCTCTCCCCCCCCCCCCCCCGAGACACACACATCATAGCACCATAGAATGGGGTTGCATTTTTGTTGTTTTTGCCATGTGATTATGCAATCACGAGTGAAACGAGGGTTGCCTGCTGCTCCTCGTTGCTAGTCTTGAAGGAGAAAAAAATCACGCCTATCTGCTGCTGCTAGCTGCCCTGCGTTCGCCACGTCCAACTGCTGAGGTGCCTCGTGCTGAGCTGTGGCACTACCACACCTTGGTCCGCCCTGCGCCTGCGTTGATCCGGCATCGTACTCTACTCATGCTGCCGTACTCTCGCGTTGTGGCCCTCATATCATGGGTACGTCTTATTACGCTATTTGCGCTTGCCGTGTGCTTATGCGGCCCGCCTTATAAGCTTACCTAGTGGGCTCTCGCACCTTATTTGAAGTTATTTCCCATAATAAGCATGGTGGTGTCTGTCAATGTGGACCGCGTACCGGGCGGCACTGGGCATCCGTGCCCCATTCCGGGGAGTCGGGGACTTCGCCTCTTCCATACGTGGTATGTTTTGCTCCACCACATCCCCTGTTGTATCTTGCATGCTCGGTTAGTACTGCACTGTACCTTGGCTGAGGCTTAGTACGCGCGCTGCAGCGCTGGAGTCCTTCCGTGCCATGAAAGGAACTGCTTCCTAAAATAGAGATTAGGCGCCATGATCATGAGCCCTTCTTGTAGTAAACTTGGCATTAGTAGCGCTGATATCTTTATGCAAATATGGGGTAGTCTCGCCTGCGCATATGGGCGTACTCGTACTGTGCGGCCTGGTCTTTCTCCAGTAAGGCTGACCGCAATTGCATGCCAGACACCCCCCCCCATTGTTGCGCGCCTAGCCACGCGCGTGGCTTTTGCCGGCTGCTGCTCCGTTGTCAGCGGTAACTACGCCGTAGTCTACGGTTTGCCGTACGCTGCAAACCTACATAAAAAAGCTGTTCCAGCACACACAGCTGTGCATGTGACGAAAAATAAGCACCCCCGACCCCCCCCCCCCCCCAAAACAGTTTGCCTTGTACACCTCGTACATACATGTATAAATATGTCTGTGTGAAACGACGCCTGCCAGTAGATCTACGTGTATTGGAACGGAGTACACTGTATGCCTATGCTGGAAGCTTATTATTTTTTACTCTTGCCAGTCACTAGTCTTGGTGGTATTCGCGTGACACCTTGGAGCATGCAAGGCATGGTAAATGTGTATTTGCGCGGAGATGAATGGAAGCTCATTCCTGCAGTCCAAGTACATGATTGCACACAGTACAGCTTCAAAGGACGGGTCTAGGCAGTTTGAATTCAACCATCGCTGACAATTCAAGAGTGGTCAGGCACAGCTAAGTACTAGTGCTGTAACGCCTCTCGAAGAAGTTCTAGTGTTTGTTATCGGATTCCGGACCTCGGACTCTGAGGAATTCAGCGTTTGACTTCGACCGTTGGATTTCGTCAGCAGGAGAATAGGCTTGATAGTGATACTGCCGACATACGACCGACACTCTACACGGCTACAGGTGTTCACTGGTCGCGCGTCTCC